TYMYSGCACAAAATGTTTCTAMCGTGCGCCGTTGTTCCAYCCCTACTCAGCTATAGACATGAAAGAGCAACAATTTTTAAAAGACCATCGCATTCTTGGCACAGGTGTAATTGACGTTGTTTAAAATCATTTTAAAATCCAAACTAGAACATTATAAACATATGAATTCTCGTCTCAAAGGAAAATTCCCTACTAGATTCACTGTTATTAAGTGAATCGGTTAAAAAAAACAACAAACAAACAAACAAAGAAATGAGATCTAAAATGGCAGCCATTTTGACAGCACAACTAATACATTAATAATACGAGAGCTTGAAACGATCGAAACAGCTAGGGCAGGTTGTACGAAGGGTGAACAGCGCTATCCACCAGTTAAATCCCTTATCCAGCGGCTAAAATCCATATAAAATTTATGGAGTGGATAATTTAACCCATTCGTTGGAAAACTTCATCCAACCTTCGTGTCTTGGCCCCAGGTTATCGATTAATGWTAATYACTTCATGCGCAGTTTGTCACTGAAAATGAATCGTTTACGAAAAAGAGATTGCTAACAATGAAGACGATTATTAAGTCATAATTTCACCCTTAATAGCGTTTGAATAAATCATGGTGAGGAATTACAAAMGCACGCAAGTCTTTTCCATGTAACATAATCGAGTGCCGTACATCCTAAAACTAGCGATATTATCCAGTCCCAACTTTTAATTCTTTTGAAATGATTTCAATGTTTATATGATGTAGTTACATTTAAGARCATCTTTAAATGAAATAGGATGCCTGTAAGAAATAGAGTCAACATCTTTTGTTTTAAATCCTCCAGGMAAAATAAGACAAAACTGTTAGCCCTACTACCTAAGGGGCAGTTTATCCCATGTAAACTTAGYCCTTAGGTGATTTGCTAGTGGAACTAGTGTCTCTCTAGCTTGATAGAACCTGATATACTTCATTCTATAATATATATGCAAACGTAAAATGGTTTAAAATGTGTTAAATGCTTCTCAAGGGGAACCATTGTATAACCGGCCCCATTGATTGATTAATTAATGACTCTCTACGRACATTCTCGCTGAAACTGAGACATTCACGAAAGAGAAAAAAAAAACAAAAAAACAAAGCCGATTATTAAGTAATAAATCCACTCTTAAAAGAGTTTCAATAAATTATTGCGGGGGATTTCAACCAGAGGCACGCAAGTGTTTTCATGTAACATTATCGAGTACAAGTACGTCCCTTGTACTAAACTGTGATGTTAAGAAACTTAACGTTTGATTCCTATGAAASTAGAATTGATATACAGATGATGTGTGATGTGCTAGTGGAGCTGAATGATACCTCTGATCGCTAAAATGCCTCTTGAAATATACATGAGATTCGTTTCAAAATTCGCGAAGAAATAACTTAAAAGTGTGGACGTTCAAARCTAAATGTCTTTCTAGCCTGTWTCACAGAAGTAGTAAATWCATAAGGGGCAAGWTTTAAAATGTTCTTCATTTCTTTTACTATTGTATTATTTTCTTCCATTTTTCAGGTGCAGTCGATAATAACCCTCGAAGCATTTTAACGGATCAYCGAGTGTGCCGAGCTTGTAATAAACCAATCACAGACCGTTACGTGCTGAGGGCAATTGATTCATTTTGGCATGAGGGATGTCTCAAGTGCGCATGCTGTGAATGTAGACTGGGTGACATTGGTTCGAGTCTTTACTGCAAATCAGACTTGATCCTTTGTAAGAGAGACTACTTAAGGTAACCTATATTAGATGCCGCACCAATTTTGTCGTATTTTCATCTGTTTCAGCTGTGGATTCGACTGAAGTCGTATTCAATTCGACACATGTGCGGTTCTACTTATAACTTATATTTTTGGGGCAAGGTGCTAATGTCATTTCTCTAATCTTTGATWACAGACTATTTGGAATTCCTGGTAAGTGTTCTCAATGCAACAAGCCCATTGCAGCCTTTGAGTTAGTAATGAGAGCACGCGACAACGCCTATCACATCGAATGCTTTGGATGTCAAGTCTGTCGTAAAAGATTGGTCGTCGGTGAGTCGTATTGTTTCCATGACAACAAGGTGCTATGTCTTGACAGATGTGCGCGAGAAATTCAAGCCGGAAAAATGGCCGGGAAATTTGACAAACAAACGAAGAACTTAAAAGTTCTCAAGGCAACGTCAACAATTAATGGTTTATAAAGAAAAAACAGTTGAGAATTTACGGTATATCAGAAACTCTTTTTATGATGAGAAACGTTCGCCGTAAACGAGTTCTTATAAAAGGCTAAAAGCCTTAATAAACAGAATTAGCTTTCAGGATTCATTTTTTGTGGGATCGCTGTGTTGAAGCACCCGCTAACACTATTGAACATGTTGGCTCAAAGAACTGGCCGATATGTCAGATTTTTGTTTGCCCTAAATTATTGCCTACAATAATAGTATTTTAGTGTTGACAAACCTGCTAATTTGCTCAAGCAAATAGCCAATTACAGTCTAACTGTTCACACAGAGATATAGCTTTGTATATATACTTAAAGTATTTACTTAAAAAACGTATTTACTTTCAATAATAAGCATTGTTATCATCATTAATCGTTACGAAGATACACGTTGAAAAAAGTCCATTTAACCAGGGACGTCCCTGATTTAACGAGCTAAAAAAGCCGACCTTACACGAGAAGTGACAAAACAAACGTACAATAGATGGTAAAGTCGGTCTTAACCGTCGAATCTCACTTGTGAAGAAGTCAGTCACAATAATCATCCAGTTAAAAAAAAGTTAACCGACTAAAGAAAACAATTAAAAGCCTATTYTCATATACACGAAAGTGTTTTAATTTACAGACACAGAATTTTCAAAGCGTTTTTCTGCTAGAAATGGGAATACTTATTGAGGTGCATATAAGATTCAAAATCGTCCTTTCGGCTTTATTATAATTTTGAACCTGACAACGTTAAACTGTACTTGTTAGGCACTTGTGGGATTCGACCTATACAGTTTTGTTTTTTCCTTTTTTCTTTTTTTTTTCCTTTTTTTCTTTTCTTTTTTTTTTTTTTTTTTTGCAAAAATTCAGTAAAATTAGTCAAATAATATGTTTTAATTATTAATATCTTGATAATTAATTGCCAATAATTTTGTCAACATCCAACAACAAGTCCAATTGGTGTTATATCTAATGATTAGCAAAAGTATTTTACTCTTTTACTTCAAAGTAGGCCGTTAATAATTAGCGAATTTTACATTGGAAATCTCCCCAAATGAACACTTAATAAATA